GGGGGCTGGAGGTGTGTGAGGGGGTGCTGAGGAAGTGTGAGGGGAGTGCAGGGTCAGGGCTGGCGGAGTGTGAGGGGGTGCAGAGGGCAGGGGGCTGGGGTGTATGGGGGGGCAGGATGGGCAGAGGGCTGGGGGGGTGGGCTGGGGTTGTGGGGGTGCTCATGCATGGGGCTGGAGGGGGAATTCCCCAATTCCAGCCCCTTCCCCAAGGTCTCACCCCCGCCTCTTCTCCTCCCCGGAGCGTGCTGCTTCCCCCTCCCTCCTGCCAACAGCTGATCAGCGGCAGGGAGAGGGGGAGGGGAGGGGACCTAGCACGCTGGGGGAAGAGGCAGGGGAGGAGCTTGGCTGCCGGCAGACCCTGCCCTGCTGCAGCAGGAGCACCAGCAGCTGGCAGCATCAAGCTTCTGCCCCCACAGGAGAGAGCGGGGGGCAGAGAAGAGCAGGCCGGGGACCCTTTCGACCGTGGGCCCGGCGCCATGGTAAATCTGGTACTTGCCACAGTCAAAAGGGCAAAGCACCATGGGGGAGGAGGTGTCTCTAGGACTGAATACGGGGTTGTAATTCCAGGGAGATGGCGGCCTTGGGGAAGATTATTTTCACAGTGTCTCTGGGAGGCTCAGTCTGAAGAGGAAGCTGGCTGCACGGATGTAATTCTGGGGGAGAATGCAGTCTTTGCAATAGGGCAGGGCTTGTGCTGGGGTCTGGATTGTTGCTGGGGGTCTCTCTAGAGTTCACTGGGATTTAGTTCTAGTATTGTTCTCTGTGAGGTGGGTCTCTGTGGGGTGGAGGGAGATGGGGTGTATCTGGCTGCAGGGATGGGGTTGGTGTGAGGGGAATGAGACGCAGTGCAGGGGTGTCATGGCAGCCTGTGGAAGAGGCATAATGCAGGGGGGGTCCCACAAGGCCGAGTCTCTGAGGGGATGAGCGCTTGGTGTGAAGGCATGAGGCTCAGTGAGGGGGGGTCTTTAGCTGCCAAAGTAGGGGGCTTAGTTCAAGGAATATTCAGTCACCCCATAGGTGAGTCTGCAGGGATCTATGTTGAGGCTCATCTCCCTCCTTCCAGGGATCCTGGATATCTTTGGGTTTGAGAACTTTGTGGTGAATCGTTTTGAGCAGCTCTGCATAAACTTGGCCAATGAGCAGCTACAGCACTTCTTCAATTATGTGAGTTCCAGGTGTGACGTTTTCTGGCTGGCAGGGGGCTCCGCAGGGTGTTGGGAGAGCCATGGGAGGGCAGAATGGTGACCTCTCCTTGTACAGTAGGGCCCCCCCTGGGCTGGGGGAGCCCAGAGTGGTGATCCAGCCGTGGGAGCAGAGTGGAGACCAGGAGCAGGGGCCTCCTCATGCATGGGGGTTACCATTGGATGGTGGGCCTGGCACAGGGGGATTGCTCACAGCAGTGGTCTTGTCTTGGGGAGGTATACAAGTGCTGAGGTGGTTTGAAGCTGTGACTGCCTTCCACGTAGCGTGTCGAGGGGAAGGATGCATGACTTGCTTGGCTGAAGGCTGTTGGTGCTGCTGGGAGCTCCAATTTTACTCTCTTCTGTGTCTCAGCATATTTTCCAACTGGAGCAGGCTGCGTACCAGGAGGAAGGGCTGCCCTGGGAGGCAATTACATTCAACAATAACAAACCCATTTTGGTGAGTGACCTAGACCTGGGTGAGGGAGAGACTCCTCTAGCCCCAGGCAGAGGCCCAAGGGAGGGAGAGAGGAAGTGCTGTATCCAATGTTGGAAGGGTTAGGATCTGGGGAAAAGTTCCATTGAAGGTGGGGGCAGAGAGTGTAGTGAGCAGACAGAGGGGAGATAGCCTCTCAGGAGAGGATGGACTGCCTCCACTCCCGTTAGGTAAGGGGCTCATCTCTTTTCCTTCTCCTGCTGCAGGACCTGTTCCTGGCCAAGCCGCTGGGGCTGCTGTCTCTCCTGGATGAGCAGAGCGCATTCCCTCAGGTATGGCAATTGTGACTAGAGTGGTACAGGGACAAGCTGTGGATCAGAGAAGATGTTGTGGGGGTTGGTGCAACAGATGAGTGAGGAGAATCATAGAAGATTAGGGTTGGAAGGTCATCTAGTCCAGTGGTCCCCAACGCGGTGCCCGTGGGCGCCATGGCGTCTATGTGCGCCCGCTTACTGGCCGGCAGACGAGCATCCGCTGAAATGCCGCCGAGAAGCAGCGTCATCCAGAGGCTTCGCCACCTAAATGCCGCTGATTTTCAGTGGCATTTCGGCGGCAACGCCTCTGGATGACGTTGCTGCTTCTCGGCGGCATTTCGGCAGATGCTCGTCCGCTGGCCACGGTCCTTGGTGGCTCGCCAGACAAAAAAGATTGGGGACTACTGATCTAGTCCAACCCCCTGCTCAAAGCAGGTCCAACCCTGTGTTCTAATTGAAATCAATATATTTGAAAACGTAGAAAAATATCCAAAAATATTTAATACATTTCAGTTGGTAGTCTATTGTTTAACAGTGTGATTAAAACTGCGATTAATCATGATTAATTATTTTTTTTTTAGTTAATTGCGTGAGTTAACGGCCATTAATCGACAGTCCTAATAAAAACGTACCAGGAAATTCCATATAAACACTCAAAAACCAGGAAATGGCCAACGTTAAGTTTTTATGTATAACCTTAACACGTGTCCTGTTTGTGCATATGCATTACGTTAGTCTTTAGTTATGTGATCAAGTACTGTTGTTTATGTATGACCAGTATCTCATCCAGTAAACAAGGAAGGGTGCACTCATTCAGCAGTGGCGATAAAAAAAAAATTATAAATAATTACACGTAAACATTATTTAAAAACAAGTATTTCATTTTTATAAGGAAAACAACTCATTCTTCAAGAGCTTGGTTGTACATGCATTCCATGTGCCGAGACCAGAAGCTTTTCACTAGCCGTGTCCATTAGCTTATACATGCACCTGCCTACCCTCGTGCTCCCTTCTGAGGGTATAAAAGGTAGCACCAGCCATCTGCCACTCCAATTCCTCCCCGTCCTCGGCCTGAGATGGAGTGAGCTGTATCTGTAGCCAGTTGAGATTTGGCTAATTATTTGGTTTTGTGTGTATTGTTATTTATAGATAAGTATACATGTATTTATTTATATTTAGGAAACTGTTACCTACAGTAGAAAGTAAGTGCAAAGGGGGATCATTTTTCAGGGCTTAACTCCCCCACTCATCTCCCTCCTGAAGGACAGGTTCCTAATGTGCCCAGATCGCTTGGATTTAAAAACTGTGGTCTGCCTCAGACTGCTTCTTATGAAGGACGACCACGACACCTGCCTCTGCTCCTAGGACAGACTCTTATTACTTCTAACTGTGGTATCTGCTGCATGTTGTTGCATAGGATGATGCAATCCAGAGAGAGCTGGCTTAAAATGTTTCTAATGGACAGGTCCATGAGGGCAGACTGGGACTCAGGCTTGGGGGACCCTCTGTACACCAGCTGCAGGAGTTTAGGAGTGCTCCATCAAGCTCAGTGTTGATTGGCTCCAAGGCTCCTCTCTGAAATAGTTTTCAAAGGACACTGGTAAGACGCACTAGGAAAAGAGTGAGGAAGGGAAATTGAAGCATTCCCTTAAAGAGAAGAGGGAAAAATCTTCCTCTAAGTCATCTTCAAAGAAGAGCCTGTCATCCCCATCTCATGAGACTCCCTGCCATGGCATGGGCATATCCAGCGCTCATAAGAACCACGATCCTGGTTCTGTAACATTTAAGTCAGAGGGCCTGGCACCAAGTCTACTGGTGAAGAGCTCCCCATAGTACAGGATCATTCCATACTGACTGAATGGGTGCCGATGGTACCAACAGCCTTTGTATGGAGAGATGAATGCGCTTTGATTCAGAGTGCAACCTCAAAATTGCTGATATTGGCACAGAGCATGACACCTCTGGTACCAACGAGACAGAGGATGACAACAAATCTTCCATCAATGGCATTGATTCCATATACAATAGCAAGCAATTTCACTGTCTGTCCAGAACCGGAATCCCCACTTCTTTAGGGGCAACCTCAAGCAGAACCAAGACTTGAGTCAGCACAGGCTACCATGTGGTTTCCTCCACCAGTACTGTCTATGAGTCAAGCTAAATCACACTCCTCTCTGGTATTGATGGCACTGCCATTTGATTCAGAGGACTCATACCCATCTTCTGAATCCATTGCCAGTGGAACTATTTCACTGGAATACCTGCAGAAACCACGCTCACAAGAATCATAGAATATCAGGGTTGGAAGGGACCTCAGGAGGTCATCTAGTCCAACCCCCTGCTCAAAGCAGGACCAATCCCCAACTAAATCATCCCAGCCAGGATGTGAGTCCAGATAGTGTCTAGGCTGTTGTGAGCATTGCTACTTTCTCTCACTTAGGAACGGTCAAACACAGGGTATGTCACAGGGTGACTGGCCCCTTTACAAGGAAGCAGGGTTCAGTGCCCCTGGACCAAAGACTTAAGGAGGCTCCTGAGCCCCATAAAGGCGGGGACAGATGCAGGTGGTTGTTGGTGGATTCCTGCAGACACTGCAGGGAGTGAGAAGGCTCCTGCAGGGCTTTGAATCAACCTGTGGAGAACGCCAAACTCCAGGCAAGAGGCATTTGGGAAGAAGACAAACCCTCAGGGAGGAGGGTCTGGGACCAGCTGAAACTGGGATAAAGACTTCTTAAGTTTGAGTTTTCTTTTGAAAGACTTTATGCAGGACTTAATAAATTGGACTCCATAAGGACATTAAGTGACTAGATCTCTTCAGGAGATAATTGTATTAATCACCGAACTTGCGGTTTAGGATTGTAAATTAGCAAGCACTCGTGACAAAATATGACTTTATTAATTACAGTGAATTTACAAAAAGAATAGGAGTACTTGTGGCACCTTCGAGACTAACAAATTTATTGTAGCATAAGCTTTCGTGGGCTACAGCTCACTTCATCGGATGCATGTAGTGGAAAATACAGAAGGAAGATATAGATATAGATATAGATATATATATATATATACACACAAGGAACATGAAACAATGGGTGTTACCATACACATTATAAGGAGAGTGAGCAGTTAAGGTGAACTGTTGTCAACAGGAGAGAAAAATAACTGTTTGTGGTGGTAATGAAAATGGCCCATTTCCAGCACTTGACAAGGAGATATAAGGAACTGGGGGGGAGGGGAATAAGCATGGGGAAATAGTTTTACTTTGTGTAATGGCCCATCCACTCCCAGTCTTTATTCAAACCTAATTTAATGGTGTCCAATTTGAAAATTAATTCCAATTCAGCAGTCTCTCGTTGGAGTCTGTTTTTGAAGTTTTTTTGTTGTAATATTGTGACTTTTAGGTCTGTAATCGAGTGGCCAGGGAGGTTGAAGTGTTCTCCAACTGGATTTTGAATGTTATAATTCTTGACGTCTGATTTGTGTCCATTTATTCTTTCCAGTGGCACCTTAAAGACTAACAGATTTATTTGGGCATAAGCTTTTGTGGGTAAAAAAACCCACTTCTTCAGATGCATGGAGTGAAAATTATAGATATACTGGCACATGAAGAGAAGGGAGTTACCTTACAAGTGGAGAACCAGTGTTGACAAGGCCAATTCAGTCAGAGTGGATGTGGTCCACTCCCAATAATTGATGAGGAGGTGTCAACACCAAGAGAGGGAAAATTGCTTTTGTAGTGAGCCAGCCACTCTCAGTCCCTATTCAAGCCCAAATTAGTGGTGTTAAGTTTGCAAATGAATTGTAGCTCTGTCTGAGGGATTGGAGCAAATGTGGTTGTATTTTAGGGCTTGGCTGTAGACAATGGATCATGTGATGTGTCCTGGATGGAAGCTGGAGGCATGTAGGTAAGTATAGCGGCCAGTAGGTTTCCGGTATAGGGTGGTGGTTATGTGACCATCGCTTATTTGCACTGTAGTGTTCAGGAAGTGGATCTCTTGTGTGGACTGGTCCAGGCTGAGGTTCTCCACTGGTAAGGTAACTCCCTTCTCTTCATGTGCCAGTATATCTATCCCTGTATCTGTAATTTTCACTCCATGCATCTGAAGAAGTGAGTTTTTTTACCCACGAAAGCTTATGCCCAAATAAATCTGTTAGTCTGTAAGGTGCCACCGGACTCCTCGTTGTTTTTGTGGATACAGACTAACATGGCTACCCCTCACTTAGTGAATTTACAGGACATATTTCCCCAGGACTGCAGACAGCAGTTTTAGTCTGTAATTGACAAAGGACAGTTGCAGGCTAGGTCATCATTCCAAACAGCTCTGGATGGGGCAGGCACTGCCTCTTGCTTTCGGCTACTGCTGTTGCCATGAGATGGTCATCATGGCTCCATTCATTGGGTTTCCTGAAAAGTGTGGGCAATGGTTGAAGTTCTACCATTTGAAGGCCGCCTGTTCAGTGCGAGGACAGATGAGTCACTGTACACGCTTAACAACTCTAGAACCACACTTTGTTCCCTCAGCATAAATATTCTGCCACCAAAGAGGAAATATACTAGGGATCAATCCTGCCACAGGCAAAAGCCCAGGACTGGCTCCAGGCACCCGCTAAGGAAGCAGGTGCTTGGGGCAGCCAATACAAAGGGGCGGCACTCCGTCCGCTATTGGGGCAGTACGGCCGGGTCTTCGGTGGGAATTCGGCAGCGGGTCCCTCAGTCCCTCTCTTTCTCTTTGAGGTGCTGCCGAAGAGGAAGAGAGGGAGTGAAGGACCCGCCGAAGAATGGAGCGGCACGATTGAGCTGCCGCCGAAGTGCCGCCGATCGCCTTTTTTTTTTTTTTTTTCCGCCGCTTGGGGCGGCAGAAAACCTGGAGCCGGCCCTGCAAAAACCTACCCCTCTGCCATCCTTTTATCATCAGCATGCAGATGATGTGACAAAGGGTGCAAAAGCAAAAACCAAATGCACCATTATCATTTTCATCCCAGTCAGCACCATCATGAAAGCAAACATTCTGTTGTATTAATTTCAAGGATCAAAA